CATTTGCTTTGTCAAACAAATGGTGTTGAATTGGTGTGTTTGCACAGTTGAATAAATAGAATGTTGAATAGGTGCATTTGCTTTGGTAAACAAATGGGATTTGAATTGGTGTATTTACATTGTCAAACAAATGGGGTGTTGAATCGGTGTGTTTGCACAGTTGAAGAAATTGAATGTTTCATTGGGTGCATTTGCTTTGTCAAACAAATGGGGTGTTGAATTGGTGTGTTTGCACAGTTGAAGAAATAGAATGTTGAATAGGTGCATTTGCTTTGTCAAACAAATGGGGTGTTGAATTGATGTGTTTGCACAGTTGAAGAAATAGAATGTTGAATAGGTGCATTTGCTTTGTCAAACAAATGGGGGTGTTGAATTGGTGTGTTTGCACAGTTGAAGAAATAGAATGTTGAATAGGTGCATTTGCTTTGTCAAACAAATGGGGTGTTGAATTGGTGTGTTTGCACAGTTGAAGAAATAGAATGTTGAATAGGTGCATTTGCTTTGTCAAACAAATGGTGTTGAATTGGTGTGTTTGCAATGTCAAACAAATGGGGTGTTGAATTGGTGTGTTTGCACAGTTGAAGAAATAGAATGTTGAATAGGTGCATTTGGTTTGTCAAACAAATGGGATATTGAATAGGTGTGTTTGCAATGTCAAACAAATGGGGTGTTGAATTGGTGTGTTTGCAATGTCAAACAAATGGGGTGTTGAATTGGTGTGTTTGCTAAGTTGAAGAAATAGAATGATGAATAGGTGCATTTGCTTTGGCAAACAAATGGGGTGTTGAATTGGTGTGTTTGCACAGTTCAAGAAATTGAATGTTTCATTGGGTGCATTTGCTTTGTCAAACAAATGGGGTGTTGAATTGGTGTGTTTACATTGTCAAACAAATGGGTGTTGAATTGGTGTGTTTGCACAGTTGAAGAAATAGAATGTTGAATAGGTGCATTTGCTTTGTCAAACAAATGGGTGTTGAATTGGTGTGTTTGCACAGTTGAAGAAATAGAATGTTGAATAGGTGCATTTGCTTTGTCAAACAAATGGGGTATTAAATAGGTGTATTTGCAATGTCAAACAAATGGGGTGTTGAATTGGTGTGTTTGCACAGTTAAAGAAATAGAATGTTTCATTGGGTGCATTTGCTTTGTCAAACAAATTGGGTGTTAAATTGGTGTGTTTGCACAGTTGAAGAAGGAGAATGTTGAATAGGTGCATTTGCTTTGTCAAACAAATGGGGTGTTGAATTGGTGTGTTTGCACAGTTGAAGAAATAGAATGTTAAATAGGTGCATTTGCTTTGTCAAACAAATGGTGTTGAATTGGTGTGTTTGCACAGTTGAATAAATAGAATGTTGAATAGGTGCATTTGCTTTGGCAAACAAATGGGATTTGAAAAGGTGTATTTACATTGTCAAACAAATGGGGTGTTGAATTGGTGTGTTTGCACAGTTGAAGAAATTGAATGTTTCATTGGGTGCATTTGCTTTGTCAAACAAATGGGGTGTTGAATTGGTGTGTTTGCACAGTTGAAGAAATAGAATGTTGAATAGGTGCATTTGCTTTGTCAAACAAATGGGGTGTTGAATTGGTGTGTTTGCACAGTTGAAGAAATAGAATGTTGAATAGGTGCATTTGCTTTGTCAAACAAATGGGGTGTTGAATTGGTGTGTTTGCACAGTTGAAGAAATAGAATGTTGAATAGGTGCATTTGCTTTGTCAAACAAATGGGGTGTTGAATTGGTGTGTTTGCACAGTTGAAGAAATAGAATGTTGAATAGGTGCATTTGCTTTGTCAAACAAATGGTGTTGAATTGGTGTGTTTGCAATGTCAAACAAATGGGGTGTTGAATTGGTGTGTTTGCACAGTTGAAGAAATAGAATGTTGAAAAGGTGCATTTGGATTGTCAAACAAATGGGGTATTGAATAGGTGTGTTTGCAATGTCAAACAAATGGGGTGTTGAATTGGTGTGTTTGCAATGTCAAACAAATGGGGTGTTGAATTGGTGTGTTTGCTAAGTTGAAGAAATAGAATGATGAATAGGTGCATTTGCTTTGGCAAACAAATGGGGTGTTGAATTGGTGTGTTTGCACAGTTCAAGAAATTGAATGTTTCATTGGGTGCATTTGCTTTGTCAAACAAATGGGGTGTTGAATTGGTGTGTTTACATTGTCAAACAAATGGGTGTTGAATTGGTGTGTTTGCACAGTTGAAGAAATAGAATGTTGAATAGGTGCATTTGCTTTGTCAAACAAATGGGTGTTGAATTGGTGTGTTGCACAGTTGAAGAAATAGAATGTTGAATAGGTGCATTTGCTTTGTCAAACAAATGGGGTGTTGAATTGGTGTGTTTGCAATGTCAAACAAATGGGGTGTTGAATTGGTGTGTTTGCACAGTTGAAGAAATAGAATGTTGAATAGGTGCATTTGCTTTGGCAAACAAATGGGGTGTTGAATTGGTGTGTTTGCAATGTCAAACAAATGGGGTGTTGAATTGGTGTGTTTGCACAGTTGAAGAAATAGAATGTTGAATAGGTGCATTTGCAATGTCAAACAAATGGGGTGTTGAATTGGTGTGTTTGCAATGTCATACAAATGGGGTGTTGAATTGGTGTGTTTGCACAGTTGAAGAAATAGAATGTTTCATTAGGTGCATTTGCCTTGTAAAACAAATGGGGTGTTGAATTTGTGTGTTTGCACAGTTGAAGAAATAGAAGGTTTCATTGCATGGGTGCATTTGGTTTGTTAAACAAATTGGGTATTGAATAGGTGTATTTGCAATGTCAAACAAATGGGGTGTTGCATTGGTGTGTTTGCACTGTTGAAGATATAGAATGTTGAATAGGTGCATTTGCTTTGTCAAACAAATGGTGTTGAATTGGTGTGTTTGCACAGTTGAAGAAATAGAATGTTGAATAGGTGCCTTTGCTTTGTCAAACAAATGGGGTGTTGAATTGGTGTGTTTGCAATGTCAAACAAATGGGGTGTTGAATTGGTGTGTTTGCACAGTTGAAGAAATAGAATGTTGAATAGGTGCATCTGCTTTGGCAAACAAATGGGGTGTTGAATTGGTGTGTTTGCAATGTCAAACAAATGGGGTGTTGAATTGGTGTGTTTGCACAGTTGAAGAAATAGAATGTTGAATAGGTGCATTTGCAATGTCAAACAAATGGGGTGTTGAATTGGTGTGTTTGCAATGTCATACAAATGGGGTGTTGAATTGGTGTGTTTGCACAGTTGAAGAAATAGAATGTTTCATTAAGTGCATTTGCCTTGTAAAACAAATGGGGTGTTGAATTTGTGTGTTTGCACAGTTGAAGAAATAGAAGGTTTCATTGCATGGGTGCATTAGGTTTGTTAAACAAATTGGGTATTGAATAGGTGTATTTGCAATGTCAAACAAATGGGGTGTTGAATTGGTGTGTTTGCACTGTTCAAGAAATAGAATGTTGAATAGGTGCATTTGCTTTGTTAAACAAATGGGGTGTTGAATTGGTTTGTTTGCAATGTAAAACAAATAGGGTGTTGAATTGGTGAATATATTTGCAATGTCAGACATTTTGTAAGTATTATTTTTTATGTCATGCTTCATCGACCAATGGTAGGACTTCACCAAAATTACAAATGTGAACCCCCATGCCCCCTCCTGGGACAAATTTGGGTTTGTGGGACATTATGACCTTAAGTGTGAGAAACTGTTGCAAAACAAAGTCTAATATTATTGTACCACCTACCACCATACAAATTGCTTTTGTATGGACAAAATTCTTTGGGAAGGTACAGAGAATTTTTGATTGGGGCTCATATCTAGAGTAATGACTTGTGCATGACACACTGAAATAATATGAAGTGACAATTTCATCAGTTTACCCTATAACTTCAATGGTGACAATGATCTTGCCCAGCACTTTATTCTAAAAATTACTGTAAATTTTGCCCCAGGTTGAAAATTTTGGTGTAAATTGTTAGTAAAAAAAAGAAGAAGTATACTCAAGCATGTGTCTATTGAGCCTTAATTCAATGTAAAATGTTGACATATTTATGCCTTCGCACACCGAAGGTGGTGCCAGAGGCATCATGTTTTTGGATTGTCCGTCCGTTACCGCTTCTTGTTAGCGTGATTACTTATGACCGGCTGATCGGATGTTTGATCTATCAGATTTGATTTGAGCTCTGATTTGAGCTCTTGACCACGATAACTTGAATGGTTTATTTGATATTGATGTAATGTGGGAGAAGTATGTATCATAAGCCCCCAATAAACTGCTCAGATTTCAGGGTTCAAAGGTCACAGGGCCTGAAATATGTCTGACTTGAGCTCTGGACAACGATAACTTGAGAAAGGTTTATCGAAAATTAATATAACTTGGGTGACGTATATATTATAAGGCACCAATGAACTGATCAAATTTCAGGGTTGACAGGTCAAAGGTCACATGGCCCTATACTTGGTGTTTTACCACAACTTGAAAGTGGTTAATTGGATATTGATGGGGCTTTGGTGAGGTATCTGTTAATAAGGCACCAATGAACTGATCAGATTTCAGGGTTGAAAGGTCGAAGGTCATGAGATATCATGCTTAGTGATAATGTGACAATGGCTCATTGGATATTGATGTAACTTAAAGTATGTATTATTGCGCACTGATAAACTTATCAGATTTTGGGTCATGATCAGCGTTCAAAATTCGCGGGGCCCCATACCTGGTGTCTTTACAAATTGGACCCGGGTGCGGAATAATACCTGCCGGCTGCATGCAGCCGAATAATCTCTAGTTATTGTTGACTTTTCAAAAATACACATCATTGTAAAGATATATTCCAGATTTGTATCCAGGATTACAGTATATCTGAATATCTCATCAAATGTGAAAAATAAAGAGGAAAAAATAAAAATTTGTACCGAAAGTTTCAGTCACAATTAAACTTTACTCTCGTTGCCATCAGCATGTAAAACACCCAAATGAATTAAAGTTGTGCCTCTTGTATTTGCTTTTTCAGGAAATTAACTCCAACAGACAACAGAAAAAAGTGGCACCTGTGATGGTTGAAAGTGACAGTGAGATCAACTCCAATGGAAAGAGGAAATTGGTAGAAAGTGATGGTGATATCAAGTCTAACCGAAAACTGGGAAAAAAAGCACCTGCGATAGTAGAAAGTGACAGTGACAAAGAAGATGAGCCATATGTGGCACCTGTGATGGTTGAAAGTGACAGTGAGATCAACTCCAATGGAAAGAGGAAATTGGTAGAAAGTGATGGTGATATCAAGTCTAATCGAAAACTGGGAAAAAAGGCACCTGCGATAGTAGAAAGTGACAGTGACAAAGAAGATGAGCCATATGTAGCTGCATCAAATACAAAACCCAACGGACCAAGGAAATGGGATTCATATTCATACTGTCTATATTGCGGTAAGAAGCAGTCACAGCTTAAACGCCATCTGTTACGAAAGCACACAGATGAGTCAATGGTTGCAGAAGCCCAGGCAACAGTTGATGATAACAGAAAAACGCAAATATGGTCAAAAATAAAGAAATTAGGGGACTTTGAGCACAATCAAAAGGTACACATTGGAGAAGCAATGGATTTAAAAGTAACAAAGAGGCCTAAATATAAAGCGAAATATGATGTGAATGATTACGTCCCATGCTCTTATTGTTACGGATATTACCATATTCATTCCCTGTACATTCACAGAAAAAATTGTAAAGCAAAAGATGGAAGCAAGAACAATGCAACAAACAAAAACATGCATGTGAAAAGTGGTAGAGCTCTTATACCTATGAAGCATAGCACAACAAGTCAATGTCGCAGAGCAGTTGATTCAATGGGTTGCAATGATATATCACTAATAATAAAAAATGATCAAGACATCCTTGGTGTTGGACAGAATCACTTAGGAAAAAGCAATTCTGCTAAGAAGGAAGAAACATGCAGAGAAAAAATGAGGACAGTCGCAAAAATTCTACAAGCAGCAAGAAGCATTGACACAAGTATTGTAAATGCGTCAGACATGCTTACTCCTAGCAAATTTGATACTGTAGTTAAGGCTTCTCTTGTTGTAAGCAAATATGATGAAGGCACACAAAAACATGGGGCATACTCTACTGCTCTCAAGCTTGGACCATTTCTTAAAGACCTGGTGGTGGTTGTCAGGGGCAAGTATTCCAGACAAAATATGGAAGACCATGTGAAGACGGTCAATGAATTTGAAAGGTTGCTTGTTGATGAGTGGAACATTCATGTGACTTCCTCTGCACTGCAGCAGCGCACCGAGAAGAATTGGAAAAACCCTAGGACACTGCCTCTCACACAAGATGTTGTTAAATTTAACAAGTATCTTGCAGAAACAGAGAAAGAAATAAAGACAGACATAGAACAAGCTGGCATGTCACCAGATCTATACAGAGATTTGGCCAATGTAACTCTAGCGCAAATTGTAACATACAATAGAAGACGACCTGGGGAAGTAGAAAGAATGAAAGTAGATGAATACAGAGAGCAGATCACCAAGACTGACATATGCCATGATGAAATTTTCAAGACTCTCACAATGTCAGAGAAGGCAGCAATGCATCGGCTGAAGATGGTAAAGGTCAGAGGCAAGAGAGGAAGGGGAGTTCCAGTCTTTTTGACTGAAAACACAAAACAGAGTGTGGATATGATAATAGACTACCATGACCAAAGGCAAAGAGATGATGAGCCACGCAGATACATATTCTCTCGAGCATGTGACACTGCTAGTACTCCGTACAGAGCCTGTGACGCAATGAAAACACTTACTGATAAGGCAGATCTTATGAAGCCAGAAAATGTCAGGTGTACACGACTACGGAAACATATAGCAACTACGTCCCAGCTGCTGAACTTAAATGATCATGAGTTAGAGCAGTTGGCCAATATGATGGGTCATGATGTTCGTATTCATCGAGAATATTACAGACTTCCGCAAGATGTCCTGCTGTTGGCAAAGGCTAGCAAACTACTCACAATATCTGCAAAAGGTGAAATGCACAAATATGCTGGAAAGTCACTTGAGGAAATTGAGCTGAGTCCAGACGACACTGTAGATCTAGATGAAACCGACCAAACCATGTCGGGAGACACACAGACTGAATATAGTGATGAAGAGACTGGACCTCGTGATGTAGACAAGAGCCCTGGAGGAAGCGATGCAGAAACAGTAGTTAGTGACAGTGAAGAGTCTGAAGTCTTTGAAGAGGTAAGCAGACGTACCCAAGCAAAAGTAAAGCGTGTAGGCAGAAAATACAACAGGTGGACAGATGAACAGACACAATATCTCAAATCCAGGGAAGAAGTCAAGAAAATGTTGAAGACTAAAACTGTGCCAGGAAAACTGGTTGGATTACAAATCATACAAAAGAGTAAGGGACTGCTGAAAGACAAGAACTGGAAAGAAGTTAAATTCAAAGTCCATACTTTAAACCAACTTGAAAGGAAGAGGTTGCAGAAGAAGGAAAAGATGTATGTGAAAAAGTAAGCAGGGTGTTGTGGATGGACCTCTCCTTTGACAGCTGAATTAATTGCGACATACCTGCATTTTGTACCATTTTTTCTTTTTTTGTTTGTATTGAAGTGTTACTACAAAAATTTGATATAGGTTTTAGTTTAGGGAAAAGAGTTCATATTTTACCTAAATTCAGTATCAGTATGGTACATGCTGCAAATCACATCATGGTTGATTATTACACAGAACACCTCTACACCAAGTGCAGTTGGTAGATGCTTCCAATAATATTGGAATGAATTTTGAAATACTGGCCTTTCAGGTTATCAAATACCTTACCTATGGTATGTGTCAGTGTTGTCTCAATACTCAATTGCCCATTTTCATTTTTTTTTATCAGAAAGTAAGTGTTTCCTATTACTTTAATTAAGTTTAAGAAATTTGTACAGTAAAAGAAATGTCCTGCATTCAAAGCATTTGGTGATGGATATCCAAGAATTGTTATGTTGGTTTCGTTGATTTGCGGATGTAACACTGACACCTGATGTTTCCAAATCAACCAAATGCTTCATCTATCATGAGTCCCTGTGATTTCACTTGATACCATTGGTTGACTGTCTCATGTAAATATGTTGTACAAGTATATCAATTAAGGGTGGTGGAGGGATAATGTTTTATCCAATATGTTTTATCTCGTAACTCGTGAACAACTCTGATGGGAAGTGCATGAGTGTATACATTTTCTGACAGGAAATTACACAATAAATCCCTTGGTGACTCCATTTAAATCACACAAAAAACCTGCTTTTTACCCAATTTTTTGGACCACCATTATAAAGTAACTTTACAGGGAATTTTTTTTTTTAATGTAACATTAATCCAGGCACTTGAACCTCATTTACTACTCTCAGTTGTTTCAAACTCGTACCTATTGTCCAAAACATTGACAAATATTTTTTTGAAAATGTCATTCCCAAGTTTGAGTTTATGCATCATGGGTTATGAAAACAAACTCAAGGACCTACTTTAATACAAAAAATTAAAACTAAAATTTAGTTGCTACTGTATATTCTGCATGAAAGTTTACCAAGGAGATGCTTTATTTTGGTGTCTGGATTAGTTCCAAAAAAAAAAAAGTGGAGAAAATAATACGACTGAAATTGTTGATTTTATGCAAAAACATTTATTTTCATCTAATGGCATCCAATGGCATCCAATGGCATGTTTCCAGTTTTGTAATGATTGCCAATTGTGTTAATTTCCACAGATTTTAGATTAAACATCCACATGGTATATATTTCTGAAAAATTTGAAACATGTTTGCATAATGTTGCATATGAGTTACAGCGCTGTTATTTTGCTCTCAAATGACCCTTCATTTGCTCAAATCCCTCATCCCACCTGTCACATATATCACTATGCAGATCTTCATGGTAAATATGGTATGTTTTGTTTCAAACCTCATTTTCAAATGATGATAATTGATTACTCAACTGTGCATAGAATAAGTGATTTTACTAATATGCAAACATGTTTCAACTTTTTGAGAAATGCGTCTGTATATCAAACATCTGTACAAATTCAATTCATAAAACCTTTAAACATGGGTTGAATTGATATTACACATACTGTGTTTATACTTTGCATATAGCACATGATGATTTGTTAATGTAATTTGTTATCCAGTCGATGTAGATTTGAGAAAATTATAAATGCTTTATTTGGGTGTCTGGATTAGTTTTTAAAAAAGTGGAGAAAATAATGATAATTTACTGAAATTGTTGATTTTATGTACAAACATTTATTTTCAGTTAATTTTCAATCTCATATTTGAAAAATCACAAATATTTTGTCTCCTGATTTTAGGACAAGTTTGCTGACAAGAGGCCACGTCCAATGGCATGTTGTTTTCAGTTTTGTAATGATTGCCAATTGTGCGTATTTTTCCAAGTTAATTTCCACAGATTTCTGAGTAAACATCCACATGGTATGTATTTCTGAAAAATTTGAAACATGTTTGCATAATGTTGTATATGAGTTAAAGCGCTGTTTTTTTTTCTTCTCCCAAATGACCCTTCATTTGCTCAAATCTCTCATCCCACCTGTCACATGTATCACTATGCAAATCTTCATGGTAAATATGGTATGTTTTGTTTCAAACCTCATTTTCAAATGATGATAATTGATTACTCAACTGTGCATAGAATAAGTGATTGTCACAAACGAGGCGTTGTAGAGAAGACTACAGATTTTACTAATATGCAAACATGTTTCAACTTTTTGAGAAATGCGTCTGTATATCAAACATCTGTACAAATTCAATTCATAAAACCTTTAAACATGGGTTGAATTGATATTACACATACTGTGTTTATACTTTGCATATAGCACATGATGATTTGTTGATGTAATTTGTTATCCAGTTGATGTAGATTTGAGAAAATTATAAATGCTTTATTTGGGTGTCTGGATTAGTTTTTAAAAAAGTGGAGAAAATAATGATAATTGACTGAAATTGTTGATTTTATGTTCAAACATTTATTTTCAGTTAATTTTCAATCTCATATTTGAAAAATCACAAATATTTTGTCTCCTGATTTTAGGACAAGTTTGCTGACAAGAGGCCACGTCCAATGGCATGTTGTTTTCAGTTTTGTAATGATTGCCAATTGTGCGTATTTTTCCAAGTTAATTTCCACAGATTTCTGAGTAAACATCCACATGGTATGTAATTCTGAAAAATTTGAAACATGTTTGCATAATGTTGTATATGAGTTAAAGCGTTTTTTTTTTCTTCTCTCAAATGACCCTTCATTTGCTCAAATCTCTCATCCCACCTGTCACATATATCACTATGCAAATCTTCATGGTAAATATGTGTTTGTTTTTTCCAAACCTTCTCATGTTTCAAGGATGATAATTGATTACTCTGCTGTGCATGGAATAAGTGATTGTCACAAATGAGGCGTTGTAGAGAAGACTACAGCTTTTACTAATATGCAAATATGTTTCAACTTTCTGAGAAATGCATCTGTATTTCAAAGTTTCCAAACTTACGTTGAGGAGTTTATATCAAACATCTGTACAAATTCAATTCATAAAACCTTTAAAATGGGTTGAATTGATATTACATATACTGTGTTTTTACTTTGCATATAGCACATGATGTGTTTCAATGACTATATTCTTCTTGGCACATACTGCAATGAAGTCTTAATTTGAACTGGATTGACAGCAAGTTGTGTTGAGTTGCAGTGTAAAAATTATGGATAGATAGATAATGCAACTCTATAAAGTAAGAGCATGGATGAAACCTTTTTAAGGTCAAAAGATTTGCTTCACTGCCTGCAATTTGTGTATAGCTTGTGATTTAATCCATTATAAGAATGAAGGTGAAATTTGTGCAGTGCTTTTTTTTAGATTTCAAACATTTTTTCAAATTGTATTTTTCTTTTTCAAGTTTGATGGTTAAAAAGTTGACAAATTGTAGCTTTTTTAGGAAAACAATTGAGATTGTAAACTGCCAGCACTGTCTCCACAGCTCTTAATAGGGCTATTGCATTGGCTTCAACTTCAAGAATGCTGAGAAGATTTCCCTGTTAAGTGAAGTGCATGTCTACCAGTTATTTTGTTATTTCACTGATGTTGAACTCGCAAAATAAATGTTCAATTGGCATTTACAACAGAGAATAAGTTGTGGATATTATCTTTTATTTAAAGTATTTTAACACTGCAGCAGCAATCTTATTTGTAATTTAGAGACGGTGCTAAACCCAAGACATACATAAGAAATAAGCACAACAAATCGCTGACAAGACAAATCCATACATTTTTTATCTTTATTAAATGAACGCAAAGAATAAAATATCTGAAATGATAGCCATTTTATTGCAGAGTGCAAAGACGCCACAAATTTTTCACATTTGAATGTTGAAAATATAAAGACATGTTTAACACAATATTGACATTGGAAAGCACCGATTCAACACCCCGATTGTTTGACATTACAAACGCAATTCAACACCCCGATTGTTTGACACTGCCAACACATGCACCAATTCAACACCCCGATTATTTGACACTACAAACACATGCATCACTTCAACACCCCAATTGTTTGACACTGCAAACACATGCACCAATTCAACACCCCAATTGTTTGACATTGCAAACACATGCACCAATTCAACACCCCAATTGTTTGACACTGCAAACACATGCACCAATTCAACCCCAATTGTTTGACATTGCAAACACATGCACCAATTCAACACCCCAATTGTTTGACATTGCAAACACATGCACCAATTCAACACCCCAATTGTTTGACATTGCAAACGCATGCACCAATTCAACACCCCAATTGTTTGACACTGCAAACACATGCACCAATTCAACACCCCGATTGTTTGACATTGCAAACACAGTGCACCAATTCAACACCACAATTGTTTGACAGTGCAAACACATGCACCAATTCAACACCCCAATTGTTTGACATTGCAAACACATGCACCAATTCAACACCCCAATTGTTGGACATTGCAAACACATGCACCGATTCAACACCCCAATTGTTTGACACTACAAACACATGCACCAATTCAACACCCCAATTGTTTGACATTGCAAACACATGCACCAATTCAACACCCCAATTGTTTGACATTGCAAACACATGCACCAATTCAACACCCCAATTGTTTGACATTGCAAACACATGCACCAATTCAACACCCCAATTGTTTGACATTGCAAACACATGCACCAATTCAACACCCCAATTGTTTGACACTACAAACACATGCACCAATTCAACACCCCAATTGTTTGACACTACAAACACATGCACCAATTCAACACCCCAATTTCTTGACATTGCAAACACATGCACCAATTCAACACCCCAATTGTTTGACACTACAAACACATGCACCAATTCAACACCCCAATTGTTTGACACTACAAACACATGCACCAATTCAACACCCCAATTTCTTGACACTACAAACACAGTTCAACACCCCAATTGTTTGACACTGCAAACCATGGGTGTCGATACTTACGTAATACCTATTCATCAGGGGGGGGGGATGAATGAATAGATCATCCCCCCCTGATGAATAGGTATCAGTTACGGATCGACACCCATGCTGCAAACACATGCACCAATTCAACACCCCAATTTCTTGACACTACAAACACAATTCAACACCCTAATTGTTTGACACCACTTGGTCAAACTATTGGGGTACCTCAATTGTAGGTTCATAACGTGTTCGAGTACTGGTCCAGAAATTAATGTTTAGGAGCGTATGTGTGTGTGTGTGTGTGTGGGGGGGGGGGGGTCGGGCTCGCAGTGCACTTAAAATAATAAGAGAAGTGTAAATTTTAGGGAGAACATTACATAAGGCCATCTTGAAGGTTAATTGCTAAAACTCGAGAGCGACCGAGGGCTCCGCCCCTGGTCCACCATCGGGGGCTCTGCCCATGCTACCAGCTACGAAGACTGCTTTGCAGTGCGTTTCACTTACACGTTGACTTCTACCCCCCCCCCCCTCTTTTGGAAAACCATGAACCCGCCGCTGATATGCACCTTTCGATCTGACTAATAAATGGATTGTATTGATGTCATTATGCAGAAATATTTCGTGTTCTTATCCTATATCAGGGGATGGACTAACCCCAGATGAGCCTGCCCCCGTGAACGTGAAAGAAGTCTTCTTTACTTTGATGACGGTTAACTGCGGAAATCACCGCTTGCTTGTGCGTTGTGGGATACAGGCAGAAAAGAGCAGCCCCGATGAGCCACTTCCAGCATTGCCAAACCCAAGAAACTGTATGAATGTCCGCTCGAGGAATCAGAGACATAAACATATAGATCCATAAGATAAAATTCTATTTTCGTAATATAATCAAATTTTCTAACATATTGAAATTTTATGCATAAGTTTTATACATATGTTTTCTTGACAACCTGAAAGCTTGACCGAGGCTTGCCCGACTTAGCAACATAATGTGTGTAGAATGAATTCCAGATACATGTGTATTCAGGCGCGTACGCAGGATTTTTTCAAGGGGGGGGGGGGGGGGGGGGGGGGGGTTAACAAATCGGGCCGAATATTTCGCAACGACTCACCCAGCCGCTGAATAAGCGGGGGGGGGGGGGAATAAGAGGACATTTTGAAACCGTTGGGGGGGGGGGGGTGAGGTCACCTTTTTTAGGTCAACCATGGGAATAATTATTTTTTTAAAATTTATTTATTTTTATTTAAGAAAAAACAAAACAAAGGGGGGGGGGGAGGTTTTAGGGGGGTTTACACACATAAAAATACCAAAGGGGGGGGGGGGGGGTTCAACCCCCAAACCGCCCCCTGCGTACGCGCCTGTGTGTATTGTAGTTCATTGATTTATAACAGGATATAATGAAATTACTCGTCATGAGGGCCCCTTGACGCTATCCGTAAAAAGAGGAGTGGTTCTCAAGAATACTCATTGTTCTATACACTTGTCCTTTGGATAGAGAGTGTGTGTGTGGGAGAGAGAATTGATTTCCAACGAAATAAACCAATAGAGTGCAAATGTCAAGGAATAGGTAATCATTTTGTAACACTCAAGACGGATATCTTGAAGAGCTTCCGGGGGCTTCTCTTCCAGGACCTCCGACAGGTTCTGCCCCCGCATCCCAGGGGCCCGTTCTCCAGGGCGTTAGTGTAAAAATCAAGACTTCTCTGATTTCAGGTCGGGCGCACAAAGAAAATTATGAATATATTTATTTAAAACAAACTTTCTAATTGCTGCTGTAAAAGTAAAACTAATCTTATTCAATGGTACAACTCTCTCTCTTTCCTTTCCATTCTCTTTCTCTCCCTCCCTCACCCATCCCTCCCTTCCACCCTCTCTCTTGTTCTCTTTTACTTACACCACCATCGTGACTCGTTTACTAACATTCAAACACCAGACTCGAGCTCTTTCTATATTCTGAAGACTTCCCCTTTCTCCTCTCTCCCGCTCCACCCCACCCCCGTTTCGCCGTCTTACTGTCCACTCTCTTCTTTCTCTCTTTCGTCTCATATCGCTACCCTTCCGCGAAGTTCCGCCCGTCCTGTATCCCTTTTAAATTTCGTGATTGTTCTATCTTCCCTTTTAAATCATCCTTGGCCCTATGGCAGTATGACGGCCTTAGTCTGGTGGGCAGCGAATACGATTCCGGGCATTCCCGAAATCCGATGTGGGTTGCGAGACGACCATCGCAGAACCATCGAGAGAATCGAAACCATAGAAATCGACACACTAGCGACGTGTACTCAGGTGATTTATATTGATAAATTGTATTTTTTTAATTGACTGTAGGCTTGCAGTTGATCGAGAGGCGATTTTTCAAATTAACTGCTGGCGTACGAGGGGAGTGGATGGGGGGGGGGGGCACGACATTCTAAACTTGGTAGTTATCGGCATAGCAATCCTATCACGATGAATACTGGTTAAGATATCAAGAGTTGATTTTTCTTTGCATGTGGAAGGTCATGTAGAGTAGCGATGAGGAAATAACTTTATTTATACAGCTAAATACATTTCGTTGCTATAGCTGAGAGATTCGAGTCACGTGTTTGTGTTGTCCCATTCGTTTATAATCATATGAGTGCATAGCTTTTCAGTATATGTTATATTAAGCAAGATTGAGTCTTCTTTGGTTTCAAAGTATCATAACTTGTGTCCAACACTATGTTTTGGAATACAAAAAGTAGTGAAGTGTACAACCGGTAAAATTCCCCCTCCAGTACACTTACCAAACATCGTACTTGAGGAAATGCATTGTTAGCAAAGTCTGAATGTTTATAATTTGTCCAGTAAATAATATTTAATCACCAATAGTCATATGTTATCGACTTGCACCTCTTATGTCTGATTTTCATTGCGTGATACAGTTGGACATCAGTAGAATCAGCTCTACTTATACTTTTTGTATCTTTTTTTTGAGGGAAAGCAATTTGAGAAATGTACGTGTGCCGACCAAGATTTGTGTGCTGACCAAGAAAAAAGAAGAAGGTGAAACCATTAAATTCCTTGATTTATTTTGTGTAGAACCGTTGGGATCCTGGAGTTTGCATCCGAACAATGGAGTCTCTGCTTTCTCAGATAAAAGAACTGGTACCAGAAGATGATCCAAAGTAAGGGCTTATTTTGAATCACCGGGTCACCGCGTCCGGTCGGGTGGTCGTGTTACACGGACCAGACCATTTGTAGATGAGGGGGGTTTATTTCATAAATATTACCCCTGACTGTTTATGAATAAAGGGGCATTTTCCACTGAAGGTCAGTTGACGCGACCACCAGACCCGACGCAATGACCTGATGATCCGAAATAAGCCAAAGTAAGCCTTTATTTAGATCTGTGGGGGTGTCATGGTATATTTTATAGTGGTTATTACTTGGGGGTGGGGGGGGGGGGGTAGGGGTAGGGCTTTAGTCTTGACCACTAAGTTGCATAGAAAAACTTTTAACCCTTCCTAATGGATTAACAGATGATGTCATGGCCCCATGTGCCCTCAGGCAGGTTACGACTATGACCATGCCACTATAATCATTGACGGATGCATGTAGGGGTCGGGGCAGAGGGATATGTAGGAGAAAACAACTATGCCCATGTGCCTCAGTTATCATCAGTTGTTGATTCTTGGGGGGGGGGGGGGGAGGGGTGAACACGGATTAGCCTATCTCAAGTTTCATACTAGCATTCATTATAAGGCAAAACGCATTCCGATGACGTCATTCTCTCGCTATATTTTGACCCCCCTCTCTTTCTCAGTTCTTTCAAGCGAGCCGTTCTCACAATCAGGCCGAACCGAACATTCGAAATCCGGGAGCGGCTGGAGGAAGATCGGTTTGTTCGGGATCACGAAATCCGATGCATCTTCGAGGGCAATGAATAATAAGAGGAGTTAAAAATATGTATTTGGTATCACTCCCACCATTAAAGGGTAACTCTTCCTTTTAACTTTTCCAACAAATTTTTCAAATAGAAAATACATAATAGGGCTATAGTCAAATTGGTTCCATTTGTAAACGTTTCAATGATTAATATTGCCAGAGAAATGAATGATAGAGTCTTATACGTATATAATGTAACTAATATGTAGTCTTTACAAGTAGTTTTTCTGTATAGGAGATTGCTAAAGCAGATTTCACTGCACATGGCAAAAGAAAAATAGGAAGAAAGAAAGAACTATAAATGGTCTCACGACTCAGAACGTTCAACATTATTGTATTGAGAACAAATTCTAGATCGCCATGCAAGATTTCGATAAAATATCGCCATAGTGTGATGACCGAAGCTTAAAATCTACGCTTTTTGTCGTTGTAGACTTGTGTAGAAACTTTGAAAATTCATTTGCTGCAACTTTTTTTTCTTGGTCATATAGAGCTGTAATTATGCATGAAATAGATGTCCGCCTATCTCTACATGTGCCCGAGGAGAGGGGAAGGTAATAAGCCATACAGCTAGTGTTGTCAATTGACAAAAATATACCAAATAATACTTTTCATTGCTCAGTATTGATGTATCTCAAATGGTGAAATAATGTTTTCTATTTAAAGGCCTACACAAATTAATAATGATATGAAAACACACAGTTTATCATTCTTTTGGTTGGTTCTAGCTTCACACACTTCAACATTTTTTTGTTTCTTCCAATTAAAAATAATTAGAAGAAAACAGGCCTTTTCTTCTGTAGGATATATTATGCCAGTTTTATTTCTCTCTGATAACATAGAGAAAACCTTTCTGGGTTTCGTCTTTGCTTCACATATACATCAAAAGTAAACATCTTTCAAGAACTACTTTCCATTACACTTTTATGACCTTATTTTTAAATATTTGTGAATATAATATGTATAACTAAAACCAGAATGACTACGTTCAATAACAATCAATTATTATAATTGTTATTATTATTAACCTTTTATTATTATCATAATGGTTATTAATATTATTATTATCATTAATTGTTATCATATTCAATGTTATTATTGCTAATATTAATTTTCGGTTGCCTCCCCGTCTGAATATGATGTCTGCTTCACAGAATACAAGAAATATACAGTTCCATTGGGGCAGAATAAAGGGAGGAGGTGTAGACCATACCCCTGCCTCGTATGCCTTAACATGGTTGTTCCCCTTTAATATACATGGGCTTCCATATAATACAAAAGAATGATAATGTTTTAAAGTTAAGGTTCAAGTTTAAAGGAGCATTTATTTTTTAGCAGTCTTTGCATTTTCCAGATATTTCAAACATTTTAATCAGTGCCCCCCATTTAAACCCAGCTACCCAATATGCACCTGACAATAATTATTATGATAACTTATTTTGCTCGTCAAAGACCATGTTTTTTGCCAATGCCAATTGTGTGTATTCTTATTTTCATTTTCTAGGGGGACGTCACTTATCCTTAAGAAGACCCCATTTCTGTTTATACCTTGTCATTATCATACATCTAAATGTTAATATGTTGATGTATATGGAATACATGGACATCGAATCAAATCAACCTAATAAAATTTGGAGTGGACTTTAAAAGATTAAATCAAATAACATAAGAAAAACTAATAGTTAATGAATACAACTAAAGCTAATATTTGTTATCCTAATCAAGAGCTCATGTGATCACACTGTACCTGATAATTATAAGAGGATATATTTAGCGCAACTGGTTTTCCCCAATATCTGTTATTTCTCCTATACGTAACTATCTGCCTATCAATTAGGCATTTTAGTCTCAATATCCTACGGGCGTCACATGTCAGTGTTGTGATCGACGCCATAGTTATTTCTGCAAATCAATTGGATAAAACGACTATTGATATGGCCATGGCTCACGTAAGTTAAACAGGTTTTACTTTCAATCGACTTTTCCATTAAAAACAAGTCAATAATTACTAAGTAAGGCATGTTGTTCCTTTTCTCACCAATTTAAGGAGAGTGTTGCATGAATTAACTTTGTCCGAGTTGCTTGCAAACACACATACATATAACAGCGAGCAAAATATCACTGGGTATCGGACATTTTTAAAGTGAAAAGGGGGAAGGGGGTGGGTCGAAAGGGGGTTAGACTGACAGAGAAAACGAGATAACAATTAGGAGACGAAATCGAGAAAAAGTTAGAGGAAGAATAAGTTGAAGGTAGAAAACATACGAGGGAGAGATGAAGAGAGAAAGAGAGAGAGAGAGAGAGAGAGTGAGAAAATGGGGGAGGGGGGGGGGGTGCAATAATTAAAAGACATAGAGAGGAACAGAGCAAAAGATAAACAAGTCAATTTTCATGCATTTTGATATTAAATTAAACATTGATAGAACAAAACAAACTTTTTATAGCAAATTTAACTTTTTCACATTCATCTTTCTTTATATAGATGCAAAATAATATATATAATAACGAACATCATATACCTCACCTTAGAAATTCAGACATCTGATTGGTCTAAATTGGAGTCGTGATTTTAGCCATTCCCGTAAAGAAACGTAAAATGCCGAAACCGGTCAATAGTCTTTTGAAAAACGCCCTAGGGCACCTTTCAAAAGACTATTGACCGGTTTTGGCATTTTACGTATAATGCGTGCAATCTCAAAGGGAAGGATTTTAGCACACAAACTCGAGTGGTGCGCGATCAGACACCATATTAAGACTAGGTCTCGATAGCGTAAATAAAATTGATTACCATGATTGGTAAGTCGTACATGGACCCTTTTCGGTATATAAGAGTTATGATGACTGCTTTAATATTCGAGGCATAGTTGTTTTTATAGGCTCTCGGGGAGGTTACATCGTGCTATCACCCGTCGGCACGCTTCGGGGCGATAGCACTATGTAACTTCCCCTTGAGCGTATAAAACAACTATGTCTCTCATATCAGTAATTATTACTATAATATTATAATATTTTCATCAAGGAAGAGGTGGAAAAGGAGATTCGATCCACCCCTTAATCCACCTGATACGTTTAATATCTATTGTTTAATTGTGTATCACGCTAATAAGAAGTTGGAAAAACCCAAAGATAACAGGATTTGAACTTGAACAAAATTCAGACAAACTTGAAGTATGTGTTTGCAATTCATATCTATCTAATTAAGTACTTCTGATTGTCAATTATATGTTGTTCCTTTGAAATTACTGTGAAGCAAGATTGTAAATGTAAATATGAACAATTACCCTCTGTGGACATAATAAAGAAATGAAACAAACTGAATGAAATGGTTGAATAAGTGAACTAATTGGGATGAGGAATTCTATGCGTATTTCATTTATTTTCATTTACACGATATTTTGTATTAATGTGTGCGTTGTGTGTGTTGAGGGAGGGGGTTGTTGAAAGAAAGGCTGGCGGTATAGTGATAGGAAAGGGAGGGGAGTCAATGTAGCATAGTTACATTAAGTAGGAAAGGTTGGGGGCTAACTATATTCATGATCAATTTTATTCCGTATCTTTTTTTTCAACTCTTAAGATTTTTTTTTAACCTGCTCTAATTATAGAATTTTTATTATTTTTAATATCAAATGTTATAATGTATTATTGCATTGATTGACTAATTTAGCATCAGTGCTTAAAAATTCGTATACGTGTTTCTGTTTATGTATAATCGATTTATTAGTTATATATTCAGATGGAATATAATATATGTTAAATGGAACCGAATAAAGATGACAAAAGAGGAAAGAAAGATAAATACAGAGAGAGAGAGAGAGAGAGTTGGGGATTAATTTTTCATTTTCTTCACTCCCTCTTTGAGCTGATATTTCTCAGTTTTGAATGCTTTAATAATTTTTTTAAAACCGTTTTTTAGAACAATATATATATATATATATATATTTTAAAGCCGACCGTAGATTTCAAGATTGTTGGGTCGTCCGCAAAGGGCAATACAATATCTTTTTAGGCCTAATTGAATGGTTAAATGGTTCAATTGATTCTTTTTCTCAATCATAAAAAAATAACAACAATATATTTAATGTAAAGTTAGGTGCTATTAAGAAAAAATGAAAACTACTAAAAAGTTTGCAACAATCTTGTGAGGCGTATATAGTCCCCAAAGTATACACAATACTCGCACTCAGTTAACTCTATACCTTTTATCAAACATTGTACACAAATCTGGGCCCTGTCTTACAAAGAGTTGATATCCATCGCAACTTATTTGCGATTGATATCAAGCAAAACCTAGTACATAAGAGATAGGAGACTGCAAACTTGCGATTGATTGGAGGACTTGCGATTGATTTGGACCAATCGCAACTCTTTTTAAGATACTTTTTACTATACGATCCTAGTTCGTTCATTAACAGTCCACAATACGTCCAACTCGTCTGTACCCCGTCCACGGTCAGTTCATATCAAGTCAGATCGGGTAAATTTGACATTTCCAAGCAGTCCAAACCATTCTTACTAGTTCCCAACTTGTTCTAACTAGTTCATAACCCAACACCCCGTTCAGAGACATTTCAACGTCCTCATCTCGTTCTTAGTGCGTTCGAACGCACTCCTATCGTGTGTGTGTAATCCCGTCCTGGTTCGAGAGCTATAAAAACCCAGCGCGTTCTTGCTAATTATTGATGCTCGACCACATCACGTTATAACATGTTACTAGTAGGATCGAAGTACGGCAAGTCCTTTCATTTTACGGCAATTCCGTTCGTAGTACGTCCATCTCTTGTACGTTGTCACTTCATCTAGTTGCAGGACGGGGAACATTTTGAACAGGCTCAAGTTCTAGAGCACCCTTCCCGTCCAAGCCAGTCCGAGCCCGTCCATGAAGTTCTAAAAAGATCCTAAATAATTTCTTAATACGTTCACTCCGTTCGCACACAGTTTGGGCCCGTTTGGCAATTTTCCAGAACGTTGTGAGAACTAGTTTGGCATATAGCTCCGTTTAGTCTCATTTGAGAACGCTCCCTATCGTCAGAGTCCAGCAGCCTATAAACATGTTAGCCTAAGGACTTTTACCCCCAAAATCGTTAAAAATTATTATTTTTTGTTTAAACGAAAAGCACATCCACCCCGACGTACGTTGACACTAGCTCTTTTATTGGAACCCTCATGTCCCATTGACTTTTGAAAGTTCACCCACCGGAATTTGATCAAAATAGGTCGCAAGCTCGCCATTGTATTTATAACGCATGTGTAACAAGTCTAACTTTGGACGCAATTTACCACGCGATTGTAAGATTATAGGTCAAGCACACAAAGGATAAGGAGCATGAATTATCATAGATCAGTTCTGCTTGGTTCATTTTGTCCACTTTAGCCAACCCCACCGTAATTTTTCCATTTAGTATAGGCAAACATTTTGCAGAGGTAAGCAAAAACATGAATATTCATGACACACCATGGACTATTCGATTATTAACAGAAGGGTGCAATTGTGCACCACATTAAATTCCCATACTTTCAGTCAAGTATTTCATTTTAGTATGTAGCTTTGTAGGTTTATTTTACTAACTGTTCAATTATCAGATATCAATGATAGTTTAAAGATAAGGAAAAGGTTCTTGTATTTTATATTTAGCAAAGCGATCTCACATACAAAATCACTATCAAGTGTCGTCTGATCCGCCGATTGCCGTCTGCTATATACGTTCTATAGACGGCGAACTAGCTACGTTTGTGCTGGCGACTGAAGAATAAGAATACAAACAAAAGTCAAATTACTCTTATTCTGTAAAACATTACAGAAAAAAACAAGCATAACAAACAAGATTCTGTCTCTTTAATGTGTCATCATAATCATTTTACACTATGAAGATAAATACTGGATTGTTGATTCAAGTTCAAACGGAGGGATAATTCCCACAACTACAACTTTGTGAACTGGTCTGTTTAAATTGACCACTTCCCATTGCAGGATGTTCAGGGAGGGGGTAGAAAATAATGGGAATGACCCTCCCCCTTTTTTCATTGGAATTATATCGTAATTTATTTCTGACGCTCCCGACAACCCATCCCCTCTTTTTTTTTCAATATTACACGTCCTGAGTTGATAATGCTCAATGTTAAACAAATATATTTCTTGACAGGATGACGTACATATAGACGGCCACAAAGTGATTAGAACCTATTCGACGAACGATGAGATGGACTACATCAATGATGATAGAAACAGACGTTTTTATTTAGATCCCGGGAATGAGTTCAACTTCGATTATGGGAAGGCCTTTGCCGAGGGTTACACGGCCAGGGAAGGGGTGCCTCACTTAGTTGCAGGAAGATACGCGTGGATGCGAGATCATCGGCAGGTACTGATAGACAATGGAATTTTGGATAAAGCCCAATCAAGGTTAGATTGATGTTATGATTCATAATCTTTGTCATGCTAGTTTCAATAATTTGAGGTTTTAAAAATATTGTTTTTAAAAACTTTTATTTATCAAGTAATTGATAACAATAATCATAAAAATCACTGCACAATAATTACAAAAGGTAAAAGCAGATGAAAAACGTCAAACAATACAGAAATAGTGGGTATTCACTATTTTTTCTACAGTGTATATCATAGGATTATAATCAAAATACTTCTTCCACAGGGGAATAATTTGAGGGTTAATAAGAAAATAACGGGTACCCGGCACAATTCCCTATTTCATTTTCTGATGATGAACCTCTGGAATAATGCAACAATCAGAATAATGATATCTTCTTTTTTGGAATTATTAACCTTCTGGAATGGGAAATTTGTGTTTCGAAATTACAAACCTCGGAATTTTGTACCTCCGGAAAAAACGAACCTTTGGGATAAACAACAACTCACTTAAAGCTGTCTTTAATTTTTACTCCTTATTTCTAAATACAACTTATTCCCACAAAGGAATGATGTAACCAATAAACAACTGTCTTTTGTTTTCGGGGTCAGATTGAACGTGGATTTTGTGTCACGTCGAGGGGTACTTACCCGCATTTTGCAAATGGGAGGACGCAAGGACTGGGACATTGGAATTGCCGTCACTCTCTACAAAGGTACCTACCACCTCAGTTCGACCATGAAAAATAGAGCAGCACCTCAAAAGAAGAACCTGATAGCAGCATCCACCAATCTTCTTGTTAAGTTTGTGACGAGCAGTAAGTATGCTTTTCTTTCACTTACGCATTCAAAATTGTGATTCATAACCTCATGAATTCACTCTTTTGATCATTCGTTCGTTCTTTTATCCATTCATTACAAAGGACAAAGGACCTGCGAAGGAATACGTCTCAACTGAGAGAAGACGAGGACAATAATATTGGTCCAACTCATTCGCAATTTAATTTGAATTTGATTACTGAGTATTTTGTATTGAAACAGATTGATAATCTGAGTATAGATAAAGCAACTGGTGAAGATCACATTAGTTGTAAACTTTTAAAGATGACGAAGAATGTTATCGCAGAGTCTCTTTGTGATATCGTTAACAAATCCCTGTCTACAGGAGTTGTTCCACGTGAATGGAAAAAGGCTCGGGTAGTACCAATATTCAAATCTGGAGATATTTCTTCTTTGAATAATTACCGCCCCATTTCAATATTACCTATCTTGAGTAAAATTATAGAATGGGCCGTCCACCAACAACTCAGTGAATTCTTGGACGAGAATCAATTATTACACCCTAATCAGTCTGGTTTTAGACCTAAACATTCAACAGCTACTGCCCTTGCAAAACTTGTAAATCAATGGTCGTTGAATATTGATAACAAAGAAATTTCTGGAGTTGCCTTCATAGATCTTCGTAAGGCTTTTGATACTGTTGACCATGAGCTACTTCTACATAAACTAGCTTGTATAGGTTGTAGTACTATGATTCTTATATAGCGCACGTATCGACCTTGCAAGGTCCTCAAGGCGCTCCAACATTACCTGGCTATGCTAGGCTGCCGATTTCGACGCTCACAGCATTTTAAGGAATTCCTTCCTACCGGTACCCATTTAAAACCTTGGTAGAGAGTGGCAAATGTAGATCAATGTCTTGCCAAAGGACATTAGTGCTGCGGCGGGACTGTGTATGTTACCATGGTAATCAACTAGGGGACCTACGTCCTTAAGTCATAACTGACAGTAATGAGGATTAATGCCTCACAAAAGGGCACTAATATAGCTGATCGACACGGTTTTTATTACGGGGCCTCACAGTAACGAGGCCATTGCTTAGCCACTGAATCATGACTGTACGCAGCGGGGGCTGGGGTACGTCGCCGCCCCCACAAATACAAAAACAAAACAAAGAAAATGCAATAAATTATCAATAATTCCCCGCATTTTGCCCCGACCCCCAACATTAAAAAATCCTCTATGTGGGCATGCCTTGAACCATAATACATGGCCCTACAGAGGAATTTGTCTTGTTGGGGACGCTTATAAAGCACCCCCTTATCTCCGGTGTGCAAGTCAATGGCGGGCCGGACTTTGTCGCGCAAAAAAGTACCCCATTACTGGAGATTTGTGGAACACGCATGCACACCTCCGACCTCGGTGTGTGTGTGTGTGTGTGTGTGTGTGTGTGTGGGGGGGGGGGGGTTCGCAGTGCTCTTAAAATAATATGAGAAGTGTAAATTTTAAGGAGAACATTACATATATAAGGCCATCTTGAAGGTTAATTGCTAAAACTCGAGAGCGACCGAGGGCTCCGCCCCTGGTCCCCCATCGGGGGTTCTGCCCATGCTACCAGCTACGAGTACTGCTTCGCAGTGCGTTTCACTTACAAGTTGACTTCTACCCCCCCCCCCCTCTTTTGGAAAACCATGAACCCGCCGCTGATATGCACCATTCAATCTGACTAATAAAAGGATTGTATTGATGTAATTATGCAAAAATATTTCGTGTTCTTGTCCTACATCAGGGGATGGACTAACGCCAGATGAGCCTGCCCCCGTAAACGTGAAAGAAATCTTCTTTACTTTGATGACGGTCAACTGCGGGAATCACCGCTTGCTTGTGCGTAGTGAGATACAGGCAGAGAAAAGAATCGCCCCCGATGAGCCCCCTCAAGCATTGCCAAACCCAAGATACTGTATGAATGTCCGCTCGAGGCCTCTGAGACATACACTAGATCCGTAAGATATAATAGTCCATTTTCGTAATGTAATCAAATAGATAGGTTTTCTATAGATCAAATTGAAATGTTATGCATAAGTTTTAAACACATGTTTTTCTTGACAACCTGAAAGCCTGTCCGAGGCTTGCCCGAGTTAGCAACATACAATGTATGCAGACTGAATTACAGGTTTTGTAGTTCATTCATTAATAAAAGGATAATGAAATAACTCATCATGAGGTCTTCAGGAATGAAAGTGCTTGAGTTTGATTTATCTCTGAATATTTTGACATAATTATGTAAATGTACAACTGCTGTAATCAGTTGGACATCCCTGGACATTATCCGTGAAAAGAAGAGTGGTTCGATTCTCAAGAATACTCTTTGTTCTATACACTTGTCCTTTGGAGAGAGTGTGTGTGGGAGAGAGAATTGATTTCCAGCGAAATAAACCAATAGAGTGCAAATTTCAAGGAATGGGTTAGCATTTGTACCACTCAAGACGGATATCTTGAAGAGCTTCAGGGGGGCTACTCTCCCAGGACCTCCGACAGGTTCTGCCCCCGCATCACGGGGGCCCGTTTCCTAGGGCTTTAGGGTAAAAATCAAGAAAATTATGAATATAAAAAAAAATAAAAAAATTTCTACTTGCTGCTGTAAAAGTAAAACTTATCTTATTCAACGGTACAACTCTCTCTCTCTTTCCTTTCCAATCTCTTTCTCTCCCTCCCTCTCCCATCCCTCCCTTCCTCACTCTCTCTTGTTCTCTTTCACGTACACCACCATCGTGTCTCGTTTACTAACATTCAAACACCAATCTCTTTTTATATTCTGAAGACTTTCCCCATTTTCGTCTCTCCCTCTCCACCCCACCCCCGTTTCGCCGTCTTACGGTCCTCTCTCTTCTTTCTCTCTTTCGTCTCACATCGCTACCTTTCCGTCCGTCCTCCATCGCTTTTAAATTTCGTGATTGTTCTATCTTCCCTTTTAAATCATCCTTGGCCCAACGGCAGTATGCGTATGGCCTTAGGCTGGTGGGCAGCGAATAAGATTGCGGGCATTCCCGAAATCCGATGTGGGTTGCGAGACGACAAACACAGAACCATCAAGAGAATCGAAACCATAGAAACCGACAGACTGGCGACGTCTAGATATACTAAGGTGATTTATATTGATATTATGATTTTGAATTGACTGTAGGCTTGCAGTCGATCGAGAGGCGAATTTTCGTAATAACTGTCTGCATAAACGAAGGGAGTGGGCGGGGGGGGGGGGGGGACACGACATTCTAAACTGAGTAGTTATCGTCATAGCAATCCTATCACAATGAATACTGGGTAAGATATCAAGAGTTATTTTTTTTTTGCACAAGGTAAAACGTATTTATAGAGTAGCAATGAGGGAATAACTTTATTTTATACAGCTATGATACATTCCGTTGCAATATTGCTAAGAGGTTCGAGTCACCTGTTCGTGTTGTCCCATTTGTTCATAATCAAAGGAGTGTATAGCCTTTTAGTATTTGTTATATTCAGCAAGATTAAGGTTTCTTTGGTTTCAAAGTTTCTTACCATACGTCCAACACATTTCTTTGGGATACAATTCGTGAAGTGAACAAAAAGTACAATTCTCCCACCAGTACGCCTAACAAACATCGTACTTGAGGAAATGTTAGGAAAGTCTGAACGTTTATAATGTGTCCAGTAAATGATATTTGATCACCAATAATTATGTGTAATCGTCTTGCACCTATTGTGCCTTATTTTCATTGTGGTGATACAGATGGACATCAGGATAATCAGTTCTACTTATACTAATTTGTATCTTTTTTTTAGAGAAAGAAATTTGAGGAGTGTAGTGTGCCGACCAAGATTTGTGTGCTGACCAACATTTAAAAAATAGGAGACGCCATTGATGTCTTTGATTTATTTTTTGTAGGGCCGTTGGAATCCAAAAATTTGCATCCGAACAATGGAGTCTCTGCTTTCTCAGATAAAAGAACTGGTACCAGAAGATGATCCAAAGTAAGGGCCTACTTTGAATCACCGGGTCACCGCGTCCGGTCGGGTAGTCGTGTTACACGGACAAGACCAGTAAAAGAGAAACCCAAAACCTGAAAATTAAACAATTTTGGTATAAATCTGGATTTCTGCTGTCCAGATTGAAATAATTTGTTGTTTGAAGATGAGTTGGGTTTATTTCAGAAACATTACCCCCGACAGTTTACGAATAAAAGGGCATATTTTCACGAAAGGTCGGGTAACGCGACCCCCCGACCCGACGTGATGATCCGATGATTCGAAGTAAGCCAAAGATATCCTTTTTTTTTAATTTCTGGGTGTGCCGTGGTAAATATAGTTTATTACTTTGGGATAGTGGTAGACCACTAAGTTACATAGAAGACCTTTTGTGACCCTTCATAATGGATTAACAGGGGATGTCATGGCCCCAAAGTGCCCTCTGGCTACGCCTATGACAAGGGCATATCAGTGACGGATACAGTCATGTAGGGGTCGGGGCACAGGGATATGTATGAAAAAATAACTGTGCCCCTGTGTCTCAGTTATCATCAGTTGTTGATTATTGGGGGGGGGGGGGGGAGTTACACGGATTAATTAACCTATTTGGCAGGCAGTGGCAAAGGGCATCTCCAGTTTCATACTAGCCTTCAAAATGAAAACAAAAAACATTCCGATGACGTCATTCTCTCACTTTCTTTCGACCCCCTCCTCTCCTTTTCAGCTCTATTAAGCAGGCTGTTCTCATAATCAGGCCTGTAGAAGAGGGCCCAGGAGTGAACCGAACATTCGAAATCCGGGACCGGCTGCCGGAAGATCAGTTTGTAGAGGAAGACGAGCTTCAGTGCATCTTCGGGGGCAATGAATAAAATGCGGTGATAATTTTTATATTTTGTATTACTCCAACCATTAAAGGGTGACTCTTTCATTTAACCTAATCCAACAAAATAAACAAATAGAAAATACACAATAGGGCTACAGTAAAACCTGTGTATAATTACCTCTCAAGGGGGATAAGAAAGTGCTCTTTATAGGCAGATGATCTTTGTGTTCAAGTTCCATTTGTACACGTTTCAATTATTAATATTGCAAGGGAAATGCATGATGAAGTCTTATATAAATGTAGTCTTTACAAACAAGTAGTCTATCTATACAGGAGGTCGCTAGGGCAGATAAGATTTAACTGCACATGGCAAAAGAAAAATAGAAAGAAAGAAATAAAAAGGGCTCGCGATTCAGAACGTTGAACATTATTGTATTGAGAACTATTTCCAAATCGTCATTCGAGATTCTTTTAAAATGTCGCCAAAGTGTGATGACTGAAGCTAAACATCTACGATTTTTGTCACTGTATAGACTTGTGTAAAAAATATGAAAGTTCATTTGTTACTTCTTTTTTTCGTCTTCATATAGAGCTGTAATTATGTACGAAATAGATGCTTTTTCGTATATCCAATATATGGCAGGGGTGCAGTTGCCCATCCCCTGAAATATCTTCCTTCGAAAAGAGGCAGTTTTTTGTTTGTTTATAATCATGACTAATATTGCATAACATCTTTCCATCAACACATAATCTATGCAGATGGCGTATAATGGACAATGACCAGTGTGATGTATGAAAAGAAACAAAAATAACTTTTCATGTTTTTAAAAAATGTGATAAGGTTCGATTTTGGGGGATAATTATTGGAAAACTTGTTTTTATAATTACTCTCATGAGCAAAAAGATATTAATGAAAAAGTATTAGTTATAGGCCATATATTGAAGAAAAAGAAAACTTTGTAATATACTTCATGCAAACTTTAGGCCAATGTCTAATATACATAATGTATATCCAAATGATTTATTATGGTAAAGAGTACATTAGTAAAAGTCTGATATTAATTTTCAAATTTTTTCATGTAACATTTACTTATAGAAATATGCTTAAAACTAAAGTCTTCCGTAATAATTAATTACTTTTAAAATCAGTCAATGAAATTGCCTTAATGAACTTCAATAACAGTTAGTGAACAGATAAATACAGTGTTATGAGAAAATCTGGGTAAACCATTGTAGAATTAATGGTAAACAGTCATGTAATTTCTTTTTCTTAGAGCAGTGTTTCGTAGCTTTTGAAATTTTGAGATCTTTGTTGTTTCTTTATTTTTGTAAAACCTCATATCATGCAAATGTACACTTATGCAATCCGTGTATCAAAGTATCGTATGGTTCAGCATTTTAGTTTAAATTAAGTTAAAGTTATGATATGTTTGTGACCTTTTCTTTTGTATTTGTATCCTAATACTATTTTCTTATCGTCGTTTCGACAGAGTTCAGCATGTTACATTTACTTATAGAAATATGCTTTTATCTAAAGCCTTCAGTAATAATCAATTATCATACTTCCGCATGTAACTTCATTTTTGAAAATCATATCGAAACTGTAAGGTATATTGAAATAATTATACTTAGAAGTTATATCATTATCATTTCTTTTAATAAATCATTAAAACATTGTTCTTGCAACAATACAAAAAAAATCAGTCATATGAATTTGCTTCATACCATGAATGACGTCTGGTTACGAGTGCATGTCCAGTCATTGAGGAAAGATGGCACTGTGGGAGGGGGGGGGGGGGGGGGGGTGAAGTACCAGAGGTGCAAGGCAAGTTGGTTAGGGGAGGATGTAGAAGAAGTTGTATTACCACGTTGTCTTCCTTTGATCTACTTTTTCTCTCTCTCTCTCTGTCTCTCACTATCTTTCTCCGCCCCCTCCGCCCTCCACTGGGCCAGGATCCTAAATGAAGGGGGGGGGGGGGAGGAACAAAGGAAAAAGAAGAAGACAAAAATTGGAGACGTGATTTTAGCCATGCCCGCAAAGAAACGAACTTTGCGAGAGCCGCCCCCCCCAAAAAAAAAAAAAAAATAGTGCTCACTACCCCCCCCCCCCCCCCCCCCCACTGAGTAAATTATCGGCCGGCTTTTTCGCCGCTAAATATTTTCTCACGAATTAGGCCCCCTCCCCTGCCACCGGCTGGAACCGCCTCTGACATGTACGATGTAGAGGTAGGCGGGCACACCTACAGGGAGGTGATGTTTTTACCACGTAAAACACGTATAGTCCAAAGAAAATCAATGAAAAGAAGTTGAACTGATTTTGTCAAACTGATTTGTATCTAAAACCCAGGAGTCTCAGTCATGTACAAATACTGTAAGCATGCGTGACCACAGGTTTTCTAGACACCCCCTAAACGAGGATTTCTTCTGAGGCCAGGATACACCCTGCAGGATTTCGCTTGGTTTTACCCTCCATCTCCTCTAACTCCCCTAACCCAACTTGACTCTTCTTCTTCTTCTTCTTCTTCTACTCTCTCTCCCCCTCTTCTACTTTTCCTCTTCTTCTTCTCTTCCTCCTCTTCTTCGTCTCCATTTTCTTCTTAATATTACCATCTTACAATCCTCTTTTCTTTTTATCTTTACTCTACACCATCATCATGTTCTTTTTAATATCCTTTATCTCCTTTATATATAAAATGATTTAGGGAGATCAAATAATAATGATTTTAAAGTTGAATATATTATATATTGTATTTTACATTTTTAAAACATTACCCAATTTGGCCGTTTAGGCTGCGATGCATTGTTATTCTTTTATTTTCCAAAACACATTTACCAATTCAGTTCAATCTCATTGTTTTTTCTATCCTTTTTTTTTCAATACACATTTTTTCTCATTTTCGAATTCTTTCCCATCCACTCACTTTTACTCTTACAAATATATCACTTAATGCTAAATATATTACTCATTGCGGATATAGTATCGAAAATAATATCGCTAGTAAAGTATAAAAGACCCTTGCTTACAATAGTTTTTATCACCTGACGAAGTATCGCAGTAGCATACGAAACGTCGTGATCTTTTAGATTCCTTATTGACCACATTGCGAGACAAACGAATATCACTAGCGATATTATTTTCGATATATCACTTAAGTTGCTTAAGATTCAAAAGGCACTCCTATAGTAATAGATTACCTCATTTCCCTAGCAATAATGAATAACCGAACTTGAAGAGAGAGAGAGAGAAGCCTACGTACACATAGGCACATTTTAACGTACACCCTTTGGAGCATTGCACACACAAGCGCCCCTACCAGGCTACAACCCCTGTCCAATAGACGGATAAGGACGAGAAAGAGAGAGAGTGAGAGAGAGAAAGAGAGAGAGAAAGAGAGAGAGAGAGAGAGAGAGAGAAGCTCACACACACACACTGGCACATTTTAACCTACACCCTTTGGAGCATTGCACACACAAGCGCCCCTACCAGGCTACAATCCCTGTCCAATAGACGGATAAGGACGAGAAAGAGAGAGAGTGAGAGAGAGAGAGAGAGAGAGAGAGAGAGAGGCATTGGGGGGGGGGGGGGGGGGGGGGGGGGGGGGGGACGAGGGTGTAGACGACATAACAATTTTTGAAAGCCACCCTTTCAAATTCCCAATAATCTATCATGGTCTGCACCCCGTGACGGCAAGAGACGGTTCCATGACACATGCTCCGCCGACGATTGCTCCGCCGACATTTACTCCGCAAAACGCGACAGTTGCTCCGCCGACATGTGCTCCACCGACATGTGCTCCGCCGATATGTGCTCCGCCGACAATTGCTCCGGCAACATGTGCTCCGCCGACAATTGCTCCGCCGACATTTGCTCCGCCGACAATTGCTCCGCCGACAATTGCTCCGCAAAACGCGACAATTGCTTCGGTGACAAATGCTCCTCGAACGACAGTTGCTCCGCCGACAGTTGCTCCGCCGACAATTGCTCCGCAAAACGCGACAATTGCTCCGTTGACATTTGCTCCGCCGACAATTGTTACACCGACATTTGCTCCGCCTGAAGCGACACTTGCTCCGGTGACATTTGCTCCGCCGACAATTGCTCCGCCGACATTTGCTCCGCTAAAAAAGTGCCCCGTAAAATACAAAGGCTACTACGACAATAATTGTTGCTCCTCCCCAAAAGTACCCCGCAAAAGACAATGCTCCGCCGACAATTAAATTGCTCTCTGATCCAAAAGTGCGGCCTCGTGGAAGACATGAATGCTACTCTGGCAATTAGTGCAATAAATGCTCAGCCGTTTTTTGCTATTCCCCATAATGTTTGATTTAAACAAACATCAAGTTTTAGCTCCTTATGCAAGTTCTCCAGCGAAAGATAATTACTCCACTCAAAATCTGTTTCATTTATTACTCATTAGCCGATCCAAAGCTCAAGGATCTCTCTCTCTCCCTCTCTTGCTCTTCCTTTTCCTTTTTACACCCTTTTCTTGTCTTCTTAGCTCTTTTTCTTTCCTCTCATGCTATTAGTCTTCTTTCATTTTGATCACTTCTTCTTTTCTTCCCCTCTCGAGTTCTAGTTCTCTCGTGAAATTGTAACGTAATGTAGTACATGTAGTACATTCTTGTTTAGAATAGTATTTTCAATAATATCCAGTCCGTCTTCTATAGGTTTCTTTCCTTCAGTTAAGTGTATGTAGCTTTACTATATATATATATATATATATATATATATATATCTTAGTGTGTAAAACACCCCGTCTCATTCGAGTACTTTGTTTTCACTGACTTTAAGGGACTCACGGAACCACCGAAGAAGAGCAATTGGCTTATCGTGAAGAACTGACATCATACTGCAACAAAATGATTTGTATAAATGGGAATAAGCAGAAAGGCTGCCATCTAATTTTCCCGTCTGAATGGGTTCTCTTCTTTACGTATAAGTGCCCTTCAAAGCTTATTTTGATCCCTCCCCTGTTGCTTTCTGGAACTTCCACGATGACCTAATACATTTTATCAGGGGCGTCGCTAGACCTTTTTCAGTGGGGGGGGGGGGGGGGGTTGGTGTAGAGGCCAATGATTACCGACAAAACTAGCCACCAATTACCGACAAAATTAAGTGTCTCAATATCTACAAATATCCCTATAAACCCGGGAACGAAGGCTAAATTGTTTTTCCTATGGACTATCTATAGTACTTGCGTATGCGTAAATGATCAATTTCCTCGACGACATAAATATACGAATTATTTTGTCAACTTAGTCAACATCATAGCTATATATTTTAATGCAGGCGCGGAGCTAGGATCTTATTTTAGGGAGGGGCGGTAGTGAGCAAGCGAAGCGCGCTCGTTAGGGGGTGTCGGTGTTAGGCCTCCTGCGCGAAGCGCGGAAGCTTAGACGTTTCCCTAAATTATTAGGAAAAGAAGACGATTTATTGTACCGTTCTCGACTCGTCTAAATGAAGTTTTCCCCTCCCGCGCGAAGCGCTGAAATTTTGGCGTTTCATCAAAATATAGAGAAAGGAAGACGATTCGTCGTATCGTTGTTGACTCTTAATCCTTGTTTGAATTTAGTTTCCCTGAAAATGTTAAATCTCTGATTTCTTAAGCTGATATTATAGGAAAGTGAAACTTCGAGAAAATACAAGTATTGTAGTTGTAGTCACTCTCGAAGTCGTCACAGCGGATACAAAGTCACAATTCGTAGGGAAAAAAACTTGTTGGCCGACCGACAATATACATCTCACCGACTTCAAACTTCTGCATTGATATAGTACACGAGGATCGAGCAAAAATACCGACACAGCAACATATTTACCCGTGTCTTTTTTGCTTCCTTGACGAGACGACTCCACCCAACGACCCCCCTTTCTTTTACCCCCACTCCTGCTTTCTCAGGCTCTTACCTCCCCCTCCTCTCTTTCACACCCCCGTTTCTTTTGTTTCCCTTTTCTCTTTTTTCCTTTTTTTTCCTTTTCTTTCTTTTCTTTCTTTTCCTTTCTTTCCTCTCCTCCCTCTTTTTTTTCTTCTCTTTCTTTCTTCTCTTTTGTTTCCTTTCTTTTCCTT